CCTGCGCCTGGTCCGCTTTCCCCTGCCACAATTATCTTTTCAAGGGGAAGCCAAAGATCCTGTCCTCGCTTTACCTCTTGCTTCTGCTATCATGCTGCAGAGCACATGCCTCATCTGACACCAAACAGCCCACCTGACACCAGAGACCACAGCACAGCCGTCCAGGGGACAGCATCCTCTGGATGCCTCCTGCTCCGTGCAGCTCTGAGGAGCAAGCAGGGCCTGATCTGCAAGACGCTGGTCAGAGGAAGGCAAGGCAGGCTAGCCTGGAGGGCAGAGCTGGTTCCCTCCGGAGGGGCAGACTTCCTGCAGCAGCCCCTTGCACTGCTGTATTGTTGTAGCTACTAAGTCAGACTCTCCTCCTGTAAGGGACATCCTCCTGGTTGGAATCCACCACGTCCAGACAATCCTTCCATTCACTCTGAAGGTGAACGCTGATGTGCTTTGCCCCAGACAAGCACGTCTAGCTCTGTTTAAAAGTGCCCAGAAAAAGCTGCTAGTTTGCAGGACAAAGGAAGGCTGAGTGCTCAGGGCCGCCGTCACAGACACAGAGCCAAGCCAACACTGCTGGTTTGCTGCTCTGCTGTGAACCAAACCCAAAACTCTTTGATCACTAATTCATGCCAGGACCTCTGCTCCTCACCTCAGCTCTTACCTACGAGATCACGGGCCATCTCCTGATCCTCCTGCATCCGGCACACATCACTGAGCTGCAGAAGGGAGTCCACATGAAACGGGTTCATCTGAAGCAGCAGCTACAGAAGAGCATGAGCTTGATTAGACGATGGCACAAATCACTGGATTCTTGTGCACTCTGTCTACAAGGCAAGCTCTGAAAGCCTGGCAGGGAGGCAAATGCACCGACACCACACGCAAGAGAAAGAAGCTGTTCCTGCCTCTGGGTCTGAAGGTGAAGAAATCCTGTCCCACACCATCAGAGAGGCAATGCTCAGATTGTAATGCAACGCTGGGGCCACACCTCATGTGAAAAGCTGAAACTATGGATTAAAAGAACCTAACAACAGCCACATTGGGTCAGAGCAGAGGTCCATCTTGTCCTGTCTGCAAAAGCAGATGCCTGGGAAAGACGACACAAAACTGGGCACACATAATGGCTCCCAGCACACCCTAAGCTGCCACCTTTTAGGGGTTAAGGGACCCCTCTGTCAAAGATGCTGCTTACATTAGTGGCATCACCTCTCATGAATCTGTTCCCTTACTGACGCAGGTACCTTTCCAGCACCCCAGCTCTGCAACACAGAAAGCTGCTGCTTAAACATACAGTGTGAAGAAGTTCCTTTAATCCCAACGTGGCAGCTCCATCCCTGTGCTGGAAGGGACAGCAGGGAGATCTCTCCCCACTCAGAGCAGTATCTGTAAGCCTTTGATCGCAGCTTCCCTCAGGCAGCTCCCTCCAGCCAACTCAGCTCTTCCAGCGCCATGGGCATGCCAGGCCTTTGATCATCTCTGCTGACCTCTGAATCTCTCCCAGATCCTCCATTCCCTCCCGAAGGGGAGAGCCCAGGACTGCACTCAGGAGTCAAGAAACAGGCAGCATTTTTGTTTTCTTCTCTATCCCTGAACAATTCTGGGAATTTCATCAGCCTTTTGCTTCCTCTGGGTACCAGGAGGACATATTGACACATCTGTTGCAATTCCAGGATCCAGCTCCTGAGCAGTATGGATTAGTTTTTTCTCCAGGCTTTTTAGTTTTTTTAAATGCATTAGTTTTTTCTCCAGGCTTCAGAATAGAACTTTAATCACAAAACCCCTCTGCATTCACTATATTATAAACAGGCTACTTTTCCCAAGCATCTCAAACTTAGTTTCAATATCGAAATACTGAAGCTACTTCAAATCTCCTCACAGTTTAGTTTGGGGATTTTCTTTCCCCCATACTGAAAAATGCAGCTTCAAAAGCTCCAGAAGTTGTGCAGCTGATGGATGGTGGCCTACAGTGTGACCACCTACAGTAGAAAGCTTTTATGCTCTAGGCTGCTGCAGCACAGCACCTTTGCCTCAGTGCCACTTGCCTGATGTTTTACCCCTTCTTTGCTTGCTCTTAAGTTCCTTTCCAGTCCTTTTTGGAAGAGATGAAGCACCAATGGTCATGGTGATGGGAAAAAGCACTCTTCACACACAACTTCCCCAGCAAGACCCTTTCAATCCACTAGCAAGAGCAGAAAAAGCACTTGCGGAGCAGGACTACCCCAAAAATAAGGTTTTGTATGCTGAAGTGACAGCAGCAAGGCAGATCTGGGCTCCAGTTACACTGAGACTGTGGTTATTGCAGATAAACTGGTTGGCATTTGAAGTACTTCTGGCATTTGTGAACTCGTGTTAAATTTTACCCTTAACAGAAGAATGGAAGGCTAAAGCTGTAGGAATATCATAGAATAGCCTGGGTTGGAAGGGACCTTAAAGCTCATCCAGTCCCAACCCACTTCCACCTTCCACTAGAGCAGGTTGCTCCAAGCCCCTGTGTCCAACCTCCCAGGGATGGGGCAGCCACAGCTTCTCTGGGCACCCTGTGCCAGCGCCTCAGCACCCTCACAGGGAAGAGCTTCTGCCCAAGAGCTCATCTGAGTCTCTCCTCTGTCAGCAAAAAGCCAGTATTCTCAAACGTAGCCAGACCCATTTTACAGGACAGAGCATAAACATTAAAATGTACCACAGAAACCCCATCTTGCTCTGCAAAGCAAAGCCGTGTTTGAGCTGTCGTTAGGATACTGGCTCTTTGGTGGATTGCTGCTGCAGAGGAATTACCTTGCATCATTTAATGCAAATCCCTCCATCCAGTCAGCAGGCAGAAGTTAAGAGCTGAAGAGAGCAGTGGCTATGAGCAGAGGGTGGGAAAGCGGAAAGAAGTTAAGTTTTATTTAGTAGACAATGGCCTCTTTAAGAAACGTCTCCAGGGCGTGTATCTGAGCTCATGTGGCCAGGGTTTTCAGAGCAAAAATACCTCTGTTATGGCTCTGCAGTGTGCAGAGCAATTTTACTGCTGCTTATCACTACAGACTATAAATGTTACCATTCCACTCAACGAGCTTGGACACACATGAGGAACTTTCAATACAAAGACTGTTTTACTGCAATACCAAGAAAAGACACATTTTTCATTCATAGTTTATAAATAGAACAGCTGTAGTTTAGATTCCCATTTAAAGATCTGTTCATACAGTATTTTTCCTCAGCTGAAGAGCTGAGACAAGGGAGCATTATTCCTACCCTTTCAGCCAAAGCCTTTCAGTGGGCTCCTCTTCCAGATGGCTACTTGGCATGTTCTTGGGCAGAGCTACAAAGGCTCAGCCACCAGCCACTGGTCTTCATTTGCACCAAGGTGGTCACTTATCTTAGTGGAGCTCAGCAAGCAACGCTGCCACACCCCACATGGAGGGGGCACAGGGCTCCACTGCTCAAAATGAGATTGGCAAAAGAGATAAGCCCTGGGATGCATCAGCCCACCTCCCCTGCCTAGGAAAGAGGCTGCAGAAGGTAAAAGCACAGAGAACCCAGTTTCACAACCTACCACAATGTTGTTGGGGTCCATGGATTCTACAGCATCCAGGAACTTGAACTGCACTTGCTGGTACTCACGATGGTGCTCGAAAGTGAAGTACTGCACTCCCCTCCTGGTATCCATCAGCTGCATGGCAATACCTACAGGGTGCATGGGAGACGTGTGTACCACCACTGCCAGCACAGCAGCAAGAGCAGCTCTTCTGCTGTCTTACCACACAGAAAGCGCATTCATGTCACTGGGTCCAAAGCAAGATGTATCTTCAGAAACTCCTAGAGAATTTCACTCCTTTCCCTCCTCTCATGAGTCCACCTTAGAATTGCAGGCCGCTTGCTTTCCCCATGGATATCAGTCATAGAATGGTTTGAATTGGAAAGGAGCTTAAAGCTCATCCAGTTCTCACTCCCTGCCATGGGCACGGACACCTTCCACTAGAGCAGGTTGCTCCAAGCCCCTGTGTCCAACCTGGCCTTGAACACTGCCAGGGATGGGGCAGCCACAGCTTCTTTGGGCACCCTGTGCCAGCACCTCAGCACGTTCACAGGGAAGAACTTCTGGCTTATAAACCTGAATCTCCCCTGTTTCAGTCTGAATCTATCACCCCTTGTCCTATCACTACAGTCCCTGATAAATAGTTCCTTTCCATCACCCTTGTAGATACATATCTTTCTCATTATCCAGCAACACTGCTGTTAAGAAGTTAAGTTCTCATCACCTGCTACCTCCAGTAATGGGAAAAACAATCCCTCAAATACCAAGATACAACGTGACAGATTTCTCCCTGTGAGGAAGGATGTATTTCCATCAGCTGAAGATCAGTTTCCTTTCCTCATCAGCCAGCGCTCAGCCTAGACCTGGCAGCTGATGAAAGCAGCTCTGGTTTCCGTGTACTGAGGCTCTCGCAGCGCCTGTGCCAAGGCGGCAGCACCAAAAGCCTCACCTGTTTTGCCATAGCGTGGCCAGGTATTCTTTGGAACTGTCAGCCACGTGCTGCGGACGTACTGGCGCTGCCTTTGCCTTGGCCTGGGGAAATAAACACAACAGGTCACAGTTTCTCTGCAGACAGAATGAGAAGAGCTGAAACCAGACAGAAAAAAGGATGATTCAGTGGAAAAAAAAGGAAAAAAGAAAAAAAAAAAAAAAAAAGAAGAGATCCAACTTCTTCCCCATCTGCAGCACTGCCACAGGGCTTTTGCCCAGAGGTTTAACATGTCTGCCCTCAAGACACTACATACCTTCACTCAGGCTCTGCCTTACTTGAAGCATTTCTCCCTGGGCCAGCCAGTGCCTCCAGCATTTCCACTTCAATAGCTTCTCCCCCATTTTTATTCCTGCCAAGTTCTCTTTGCTTCAGACAGCTTCCCAGGTCCCATGAAGAGAAGCCCACATCCCCCTGACTCACCTCTCCTCCCAGCAGTGTCTTCAAATGTCAACTGATTCAGTTTAAACTGCACTCACAAATGCAACCAATGCATTGGTTCAGGGTAGAAGGAAATCAGAAACTGAGGCTACTCTAATGAGGTCATGTCTTCTCCATTAGGCACTGCTGCTTCTTCCTCAAGTACTAAATATTCTTCCACAGACTCTCTAAGAGAAGACTGCTGCTTCCACATCACTGTTCTGAGCTTAATCCTTTCTTACATGCACATTTTTCAACCAGCTCATGAAAGCAGGGATTTTCTGGATGATGCTGACCACAGTGCAATGGATAATTGCACAGAGACTTCGTGCCCAAACAGCAGGAGGTTCCCTAGGACCCTGAAAGCAAGTGCATGAGACCCCCTGGAATGTATTCAGGCTCCACTCTGTAAGACATCAGATTGTGGGACAGACACAGGAGACAAATGCTGGAGAAGGAAGAAAGAATCTAGGAGTCTATACTCTATGAATCTGAGTGAAAGGACTTCAGAAGGTTGTTCTGACAGTAAATGAGCGGGGATATCAGCAGAAAAAAAGTAAATTCTAGCAAAAAATCTGGAGAAGTCTTACTCCCCGACCCCTGTAACAAAACAAATGTTATCCTGCCCCAAGAAGCACTACTAAGTGAGTAAAACACCCTGAACCCTGGATTTCCTGCCCAGGTGTGGCACTGGGGACTTGGTAAGCTGCACTCAGAGAAGGACAGACCACCAATCTGGACTTTGAAAGGGTTTAATATTAAGTTCTGGACTAACCTCTGATCACCAAGAACAGTGCGAGCCCCAAAGTATCTCTTCAACTCATTCTCTGGATTCAAGTTTCTGAGGAGGTTGAAACAAGAAAGAAAAGTGGTTAAACACAGCCGGAAGTCTCAAATTTGAATCCCCTCCATCAACCCCAAGTGCTCTGTACCTCAAACTGCCTCTGGCCAAGCTCCCATCTGTCACACACACCATGGATCTGACACAATACACAGAAAGGAGACTAAAGCTGGTCAAGAACAGGAGGCATCCAAAAGCCCTGTTCCACCAGAAGCATGCTGTCTTCCTGCTCCCCTTCAGAGACAGCACTGAGCTGGGACATACTTCTGCTGCCCTCTCCAGGGCAGCTGAGGCCTCACTCTGGGATAGTCCCAGGAGAGCCTCCATTCAGGAGCACAAAGCTGGGGTATGCATGCCTGGAAAAGACTAGTTACCTGCTGCTGAGTTTAGCAGTAGCAGCCTGCAATTCAGGGCAAGCATCCTAACCACAGCATGGAGGCTGGCAAGGATTAATACAGAGATCTTGCAACAAAGCATGAAAACACCTGCAGTTTTCTTAATTTAACATTTGGCCCAAAGAAGGAAGATGTATTTGAGAGGGGTTTCTCTCTGCTGCCCAGTAAGCCAGGCTTGAAGAGAAGGAGTGTGAAGGCTGAGATCCAGCACTGCCAACTCTCACCTACTCGGAGATCACCCAGCTCTCAAAGGTTTCTGAATGTTTATTTGACCTGAGAAGTCACTGGAGTTCAAAAGCACCTTTGGGTACATGAACATTCTGGTCCTACTGCAGTGTCCCTGAGCAGGCTGCGCCAGCCCAGACTCAGTTTTGATGCAGTGTGACTGGGGGTTTCAAAACCAGGACTGGTTAAGTTGACCCAGCTACAGGTTTAAATATTATCTCCAACAGGAGAAAGAGCTGCCAACACCTGCACCATCCCAGGGCTCTGAAACACACTGGACACACCAGCCAGCCCATTTCCAGCAGGTTTCCCAGCATGACACAGGCCCAGATGTTACAGATGTCAAGTGTGAGGCAGGTTCATTCTCCAGCTCCTGGATGTGCTTGGTGCTTAGTCCACTTTGTTGATGGTGACATGCAGGAAAGGTTAAACAAGTCTAACTTGCTTTCCTGGTAAAATTAGCTCCTGGCACTGTACAGCCCTCCTTAGAGAACAGCACGTGGTATACTGGGACCTGCTCTCCTAGTGCTAGGCTGAATGCAGCCTGTCACCTGGCCAGGTGAATTTGGTGTCAAAGGTAATGCACCAGCATTCCCAGCACTTCCAGAAAGTGCTAGAAAATACACTCCTAGAGTGTATTTTAGGCTGTCACTTCTGGAGACTAATCTGGCCCAGTCACCTACTCGAACCAGGTTTGACAGCAGATAATATTAGTCACTGCTCAAAACCAAACACAGCTCTAAGAGCAACAGTTAGAAATGGGGCTGTGCACAACCATTCCCACAACCCCCTTCAAGCAAGGTCCTGAATTCATGGCCAGATCACACTAGGAGGCTCCCAGCTCTCTTCCTTGTGGCAACAGATATCCCCGTCACACCAAAGGCCAAAAGCAGGAAGGGAGCAGGTACTACCTGTGCTCTACGTAGAGCAGAGGCCTGCTGTCAGCAATTATTCCACTTTGGGTCTGCTGCCATAGCCCACTGGTATCCTCAATCTTCTGTAGCAAGCTGTCAATGTCTTCCAGGTCATTGTCTTCCTTAAGATAGGCAAACACAAGGCAGTTATTACAGAATGAGTCACCACAGCAGAGATCACACCCCACTGCCTCTGGGTCCTTTGGCTCACCCAATCTCTGCAATACTGGTGTAACACCTACTGGTCGCACTGCTGCTACACCACTGCCTATGTACTCTCTTACTGAGGCCTCCTGCTCTCCATGCAGCACTCTATTCCCTTGGGAATGCTGCCCAGCGCCTGCCTTCCCTCCCACCAGCTCCCCCCAGAAGGACTGGCTGGTCTTCCCCGCTGGCTCAAGGTATCATAGGGCTGTTGCTTTCCTGAGTCTGAACATGCCAGCTGATTCTGTCTATCCTGGGCAGGAGCTGGCAGGAGGTCTGGTCTCTGGTCTGCCTGTTCCTACCCAGCCTTCGCCCTGCTTTGGTTTATTTCCACTACAAGCCCTAGAACATCCTGAACTGTTGGGGTGATGATTTCAATCCTGAATTATTTATATAATTAGCCTTTACCATCTACTTCCTATGGCAACAATAAGCTACTTGTGGTTTAAACCCAGCTGGTAACTCAGAACCATGCAGCTGCTCGCTCCTCTCCTTCCCACCCAGCTTCTAGTGGGATGGGGAGGAGAATAGAAAGAATGTAAATCCCACAGGTTGAGGTAAGATCAATCCAAAAACTGAAGTATAATACAAACTACTACTACTACTAACAATGATGGGAGAGAACATGAAACTAAAAAGGGAGAAAACCCCCAAGAAACACAAGTGATACCCAATACAATTGCTCAGCACCTGCCAACTGATACCCAGCCCAACCTGAGCAGCAATCTGGGCCTTCCAGGTAACTCCCCCCGGTTTCTATACTGGGCATGACGTGCTGGGGTATGGAATACCCCTTTGGCCAGTTTGGGTCAGGTGTCTTGTCTCTGCTTCCTCCTGGCTTCCTGTGCCCCTCTGCACTGGCAGAGCACGAGAGACTGAAAAGTCCTCAATTGGGGTAAGTGCTACTGAGCCACAACTGAAACGTGTGTCATCAGCTTTGTTCTCAGACTGAACCCAAACACAGCCCTGCACCAAATACCAGGAAGGAGAAAAATAACTTGTTACAGCTGAACCCAGGACACTACTGATGTGACCCTCGTAATAAGCTATCAAACCCGGTTGATTTTAACCCAGCTCTAACATATTGCACTCTCACTTTTCCCATCTTCCAACACCACAAAGGATACATCCAGTAGTGCATGTTCAACAGTTGTAGAACATTTTTATCCCAATTTTCCTCTGGTTTTCCCCAGAAATAGCAAGTGACACATTCCTTACACAGCCACTTCACATCCTCTTCATGATGAACGTGGGTGGAACACAGAATTCCACTCAGGACATCCAAACAGCATAGCAAACTCGCCTTTTCCAGCTAAATATAGCCACTCCGCATGGAGGGGATACATGAAGAGTGCATAATGTGCTTTGCATTTAAGCGCTCAATCAAACGTAGTATTATCTCGAGCTGGCAAATGGAACTGCCTGTTTCTAAGTATGAATTCTCCCTAGAGCTGGCAGATGTCACCCTGCTGCTTGTCATTTTCAAGACTGTGAGAGGAAATGAGCTCTCTGATTGGGTTCTCTGCCTTGGTAACTCACTCCTGAGCATATCCAGCTGAATTCCCATGGAGGAGGTGGCTAGCCAAGCACTGACACCAGAGCCACAGCCTTCAACACGGCGGCACAGCACGGCTCAGGATGCTGAGCAAAGGGTCTTGCTTGCATGAATAGTTAAGATATAGTTCATATAGTTAAGATTTAACTATCCTCTTAGCAGCAAACCAGCTCCCACTTGACCTTTATTTCTATTAAGAAGACTGATAATGTAATTCATTTAGGCTCCTAGCCTAGCTAAAGTAGACTCCCAGGCTAGCTCAAGCAGATAAAAGTACATTCAAGCACATAGATTCATCTCAAGTTTTATCCACAACACACAGAGACACTGGATAAAGTTCTTGCTCCAAGCACACTTCCTTAGGGGTAGACAGCTTAGTGAGAATCACTGTTCCCTTACTCCCTTCATCACTGAGGGGATGGAGCAGGTCCCATAGGAATAGCATGTGGCAGATGCTCCTGACAGCATTCAGTGATCAGATCTCCAACTGCAGAGACAGTGTGCAGCTGTGCACAGGGAAGAAGGGAATGTGGATGATGGAATCTGGCAGCGAGAGCTCTGCATGGCTCTGCAGAGCCAGAAGAGCTGCCTAAGTAGGGCAAGGAAAGTATAAAGAAAACTGCTAAATTCCTTGCACAGGACCCCTCCTGGTTGAAGCCTTGAAGCAGAGATGAAAGATGCTGCTGAAAGGATTTCACAGCCCTAAGTACCTGCAGAGCTGCACCAGTCCTGGATGTTTGAAAGACCACAGTCAAAAGCTGCTGTTACTGTTTCATGATTTTCAAGCAGTACAATGCAAAAATGGAGCATTTTTGCCTTGAAATCTTTTCTGCAGCTGCCTCAGTTACCACTTTGTCTACCCTAAAGGAGGAATTTGCAGTCACTAACTCTCAGAGCAAAGGCAGACATACCAGAGTCTCCCCTGCCAAAGTCTTCCTGGTTTTCCTTTTCTTTTTCTTCTTTCGTGGCTTGTTACTCAACACGGGCTGCAAAGACAAATGGAACAGCCGTCAGTGTGCCTGTGGGCAGCAAAGCTCCACAGGGAGACCAGCATTTCTCACAAGGATCAGCATGTGAGGAGGGCCCTTAAATAAAACCAATACTCATCCTTTCAAGTTTGCCAGTGACTAGAAATTAAGTCACAAGGAGAAAATGGAGAAAGGCACCTAAGATTTACAAAGGGTTAAACCTCAGCTGACTTTCATATCAATGTCTGAGACTAGAAAATCAGGCAAGAAACAGTTTAGATAGGCCAGGTGCAGAGGAAAGGTTTCATCCCTCCTTCAGCCTCTAGGGTAAACTGTATTTCTGTCCTTCTAGCAAACATGACAGTTTCACCAGTCACTCAGATCTCCACAGAAACCTGCCTGAAAGCACTGCAGAGGTCTTTGCTCCTGTGGCCACACTGTCTGGCAACCAAAACCCCAGATGCTGAGCCCCAACAGGTGAGGCCGGGGGCAGTTCCACTTCTCTCACCCTGACCCTCACCTCTGGTGAGATACGGGCTGGACTAGACTTGCAATGTCAAATTGTCGATTAAAGCACCGTTTCCTTTTGAGTGTCTGCAAGGACACACTTCTGACCTGATACACAGCACAGGAGGGAACCTTAACATGAAGTGACAACACAACATCACAGGCTAGAGCAAGTTTGGTGTTTGCTTGGAGCCTTCACACCTTCCTCTCCAGAACAAACACCTCACTGACCATCCACCCGCCAGCTGTGTGCCAAGTATGGTGTAGAGCTCCATTCGGTGTGCAGTGAAGGGAACAGAGAAGCAATCTCTGTTTGAGAACCCCAGGCTGCTCTCCTCCTGACCTCAGTGCTCCTGAGGACACAGCACCATGTCTTCCTCAGGAACATTCCCCCTGCAGCTCAGTTACCGTTTGGTCCGGCTGCTCTGCCTCCTCCTCATCTCGCCGCCTGTCGCCTTCAGCCTCTTCAGTTACAGCCCCGTTGCTGTACCCTTCTGGTGCATCCCGTGCGCCGAGCCGGGTGTCCGCTCGCTCCTCTCTAGACGGAGGCTCATCCTCTGACTCCTCAGCAGTGATCTGCACAGAGATGAACAAGCTGCAGAAACAGCCATCGCGGGGCTGTGCTCTGCCCTCTCCTGTGCCTGGAGAGAATTTCCCACGGATCTGGTCTGTTCCTCTCCCCCCTGCAAACAGAGCAGAGAAACGCCGCAAAAACAGCGCAAGGCTCAGCTACTCGAGCAGCTTCACCAGCAGATGGATGAGGATGACCCCTTATTCCAAGTGTGTCACCCAGGAGGTGCCTGAAGAGCCCTGCACCCACTCACTGGCTGGAGGGGAGCACAAAGCCACCACAGCACATCCATGGCGTAGCCCTGTATGGG